GGGTATTACGGGAGAATAATGCCCTACAATTCAGTGACAATTAACCAATCAGAGCGCACGTTATATCGGCCACAAGCCAAAGCCATATAATAAATATATCTTATTAGATGTGTTGGTGTGTAGTATCGCTGTATATTTTCACGAGTTGTGCCGTATTTTGACGAGCCCGTAGGGCGAGTCAAAATACAAAGCGATACTGCACACCAAAACATCTAATAAGAGATTTATTATCCAATTGCTGTTAGTCAATAAATTTATCAGTGAAACAGGGAGAGTGTGACAGTTTTGCGTGCGCGCGCCGACCTGTCCGGCATACAGGTTTTCTACTGTACAAATAACTGTACAATATCGCTATATATTTGTACTGTTATTCGGACAGTATTCGCTGCAGTTGGATAATAAATACATATATCGTAGAATTGCACTGACCAATGTGAAATTAAACATATTAGACAAGCTTGGCATCACTATTAAAATCTTACATACACTGTAAAGCAAAAACTGAAATATATGCAGTTGCTCGAGATTTATTAGAATAGAATACAAGATGTTTGTAAACGATTATAAAGTTATTATATAGTTTATTTCTAAATTTTTATAAATTTATCAGTTAGTAAAAATAATACTTTATTGATATCTTACCGCAGGTTGGAGTACTCTGGATAATAAGCCGCTCCAGCATCACTTCAAAGGTTAAATATTTACAAAATAATTTAAAAGAACATATTTGATCAGTGTTGTTAACAAAAAGAATGTTTCTTTGCAGTGAATTTGTTAAGTTTCTGGAATTTTAAGTCTCCGTTTTGCCACCATTTTTTAAAATTTAATTTGCAGAATTAACTCTTTGCATTTGAGAGCGTAAATAATTTAGCAATGTTTAGTAGTTATTTTATTAAGATTTTGATTAACTTCAACTACTAACTACTTTGCACTTAACTTTTTTCATTGATCAGTTTTAACGAAACAATATAGATTCAACAGGTTTAATCTTTAAATCGACAAAGAAAATGATTACAAAACACGCCAAATGAATCAGAAACTCGGCAACTGTAAAGTTATCCAGCGCACGGTAAGAAGATTATGGGAGAAGCAATATATCAAACAAGAGAGACCATGATCTACCACGTTTCTAAACAACGAGAAAGTTGGTCAGGAGACGAACACCGAGGTGCTTGGAAATTTGATAAAACACCGTCTCCCGTGTTTAACATATCTCCTCAATCGAAACTGACACTAAGGAAAAAAAGAGAAATTATTAATAAATTCTTCAAAATATACGCCGTGATTAAGTTATGAATTCCTTTGTTTAAACTTGGCCCGATGGTTAGCCTGTTAGACCACATCTGATGGTTCACGTTCAAGCGTTAGGTGGAATTAACCAAGAGAATAATCGGTAGCCTGCGAAGGACTGCAAAGTTCTAAGAGTGCATCTAATTGTGATCACGTCACAAAATAACCTGATCTTACTGGGTATAAATGTTGCATGATTCGCTATCAGTCATTTGAAGTTTAACATGTCAGTCACCCAGACGTTCGCGCCCAAAGCCCAACACAATGGGTTTCGTTTTAGCGACCGATGGAAATGTTTTCAACAAGAATGGACGAAACATCAAGCCAGGATTTTCCTTGACAAAGGAAATCCATGTTTAAAGTTTTCGAAAGTTTCCTCTGGACTTATTTACAAAAAAAGTTGGATCTATTTATACAATGTCAAACTAACCTTTCTCTGACATCTTTTCTCTTGGAATGTGTCTGAAGCTCCAGAGCTGTGAGTTTCTTTGGGCTTCGATACTGCCAGGAATAAAAGGCCTCCTTGGATGAAGCTATCACGTGGCTTCTGGTCATGGCCACATACAGAGGCTCTAGCATGAAGAGAGGTTTGGCATGAGTTGGTATAGACTCTTTGAATGACACTGTAGTAAACGCTTTCAATCGTTGATTATCATCGTTTGAGGTTAAGATGAAACCGTTGTGTGTAACCATGCATATAAAAGCTTCTGGGAATTATTTTCACACGTATAATCGCACTGTTCACTACACTGAACAATATGATTTTACCGAAATCTTGAGACTGTGGTTGAAACCCTAGAGTGTAACCATTCAAATGGAACCTATTGCGCAGAACTTTCACGTGGTTCTGTTTATTTTGCTGTACAAGGTGGTTCTAACTTTTGAGTCTGTGGATAAAACCCTAGTGTGTGCAAATTCGAATGAAAGCTAGTGAGCAGTACTTTTGTGTAGAACTGTTTGTTACACTGCACAAGGTGGTTCTAACAATGCATGAAACCTTAGTGCGTGACCATTCGAATGAAAGCTATTCAGCAGTACTTAAGCCAAAGGTGTTACTGTTTGCTGTACAGGCTGGTTCAGAGTAGCTTGTGAGCCCGTGAATGAAACCCTAGTGTGTGACCATTCAAACGAAAGTTATGGAGCAGTACTTTCATGAGTTTTGTTCACAATGTTAGCACGGTTTAAGATAGTAAAAATGCTTAGATCTCTGATTCTATGTTTAATAGAATCAATATACATATAATACGTGGGCATTCCCGCAAGAGCGCTATGGAATAATAGTACTTTTATGTGATACCTGAATTACTTTTTGGACACAGGTACAGTATGTTATGCATAGAATTTGGAACTTTGTCAATATTCTGAGCTTGGAAATTCTAACAATGCAGGTCAACAATATGAAAACCGGAGACCCGCTGACTTTCTCATTATGCTCGGAGACTCTGCCAGTTAAAATAATCATTCGTTTGCCATTCTGACATACAGCGTTGTACGTAATATTTATAGGTACCATTTTTTACTCCAAAAGGACAAAACAAATTTTTAAACATATAAAACAAAATTAATACCGTGTTCTTAACTGCAGCTTACCTATTTCAATATACTTGGAGTCTAATGGGGTACCAATGGCATTACAAAGTACGAGGACATGCTGGAAAACGACAGAAAAAAAAAAGATACTTTCAACGTAAAACAATATATTCAGTCCATTCTAGGAAGACACATGTACCTGTACATGTACAGTGTACGCATGGTTTGAGTGTTTTTTTCTGGTTCTTGCCCTGCTTGAGGAGTTTTCTTTCATTAGCTTTTTCTAGCTCTCTAGTAGATAAATCAATTCGTTACATGCACAATCTTGTTCGTGGTGCCTTTTTTGTTTCCTTTATTTAGTAAACCTGCATATTTTCAAGATCCTATACTTTGAAGGTCATTTGGCACAACTTGCAAAAATGCCTTTAACACATTGTACAAGGTGGTTGTCATGTTATGCATCTTGTGCAAACTCATTTTCAAATTCCATTACAATGGAACATTTGGTTTTAATTGTGAGACTCTCATTTTTTCTTAATTTAACCTCTGGATAGCCTCTTGTTACAATACTAAGACCACTATCAGGTAGACAATAAAAAAAGATTGACCCATCACCAAATCTTCAGAAATGTATGCTTATTAGTAAAGAGAACTTAAGCATGTATATCTTGATCAGTTACCTGTCCACTACTGTCATCAGCCCTGGTGGCCAACACACAATGCTCTCCACATGCTGTGATTGATAACAGATTGCGCACATACTTCACATATTTCTGGTAAGAAAAAAATTATTATAGTTATAAAATAATGAAAATCTCCTTAAGAGAAAATCAAGTAGTTAATGATGACCTGCATGTAAGCAAGCTTCCCGTTTGTCTGTTTGTCTAGTAATAGCACCAGTAATATATTTATTTATTAAAAAAAACTGTTTATCACTATTTTTTCTTAAAAAAAATTGCATAAATTATTGAAAACCCTATTGAGAAAATAGGCTTTAAAATAATTAATTTTTACAACTTTCAGTTAAACAGGTGACTATTATTATGGGAAATACTTGAAAAATGAATAACTACACAGACCTCTCCATTTTTGGTATCCCAGAATATCACACAGTGCTCCTGTCGATCAGGCTTGTTGAATGCGTACACCACTGTGTTAGAGAAATATCCCCACTGAAAATAACATTGTTTACATTGTATCAGACTAAGACAAATAAAGAGTATAATCACAGTACAAAAACCGATGTGCAACTTTTCAATGCAGAGGAAGAGAGGCATTAATTCTTTAAGGTTAGGAGACAAGTTTTCAAATTCTTGTATGCATGTATATGGGAAATTTATCATGTAATCTGCATGCATGTATTGATCGAATAGCTGTATGTTGCAGTTTATTTTTTATTTCAGTGTACAGTGTACATTTGTTTTCAACTATATCTAGTTCATGTTCTTCTAGTTCTTCTAGTTGACTAGCCCTGAGGAATAAAGTGAAAAAATACTAACTAGCTAGAGCAAAACAAACTACATAATTATACAAGTAATAGTTGACTAACTGAAATCAAAAATTAACTGCACCATGTGCACATGGACATGCAATACATGTAGTCAGCCAGATTTTAAAAATTTTGCTTGATGAACATGACCATGTAATAAAGACAGTGCTACACCAAGATGACAGTTGACAACCTAACATATAAAGCAGGCTCATATTTCGACAAGATTCAAGGCCTGAAACATGGTCTGGAGAGTTTGATGATCTTCTCAATTGAAGTGAAATGCAAACGAAAGAGTAAACAGAGAAATAAGCCTATAAAAATCCATTACAAGAACTAATGTCCACCATCATTGCAATTATTGAGTGTTATTTCCTTTGGTTAATTAAACTTGACAAATAAATTAAATTAAACTCTAGCTCTGGCAAATTACATTAATTTATTTTATTCTACTGTTCACACTAATTTAGGTCATGTAAATACATGTACGCTACCAACTACCAACTACAGTAACTACTTTGGGAAATACATACAGTGACAGCATCCTTCCACAAACCTTATAGTTTGGTCTGATGTTGGCGAAGTAGATGAAGGAATCAACAGCCAAGGCAATACGCAGTCCTCCACCTTCAAAGCAAGCTTGCATTATCTGCTTTCCAGGGACTTTTAGAGTTCGCAAATGCTACACAAAAGAAACAAATACAAGAAAGATATATCATTACAAGTGGTACCTAAAAATCCGTTATACTAACAATAAATAGTGGAGACCAATATAATTATATAAAATTATTATTTTCCCAAGTATTTATATCTGAGACCTACCTCACCAAATGGGGTATAAAACTGTACAACATTGATGTCCTTGTCCTAGAAAAAAAAAAAAAAAAATTCAGTTGAATTGAATTGGCAAAAGATAAGCAAGAAAATATGCTGCTACGTGTCTTTACATGTAGTGTGCAAGCCATGCTAGCGCTACCTATTGGTTGGGGAAGAAATTATAGTATTCTAGGAACTTTATAGGCCATAAATTTCAAGTGACTGTTAAAAGGAAAAATCACCAAAATGTAATATTTGATTTTCAAACTTACCTAAAACGTTCAAGAGAAATTTGGAAATTAACATCCTTATTTGGAAATTACGGTGACCATAAATGAAGTTCTCATGGTTCAGGAGATTAAGTGATTCATACAAATGAAACCAAACTGACCATGAGGCTGTAGGCCTTCTTCAGTTTGTTGTGAAAAAAATATGCAACATGTTGAGTATTGTTGGCTCAAATTTGGCAAATTTCAAACTTGAGTCACAACACCCCACGTCGCAACAGGCTGGCCAAACGTGTTGCGCTTACGAATGTTGCAACGTGTTGTGTTGCAAAGTTGCGATTGTTTGGTCGGGCTTAATTAAGACTTCAAACACATAATTTGTAGCATTGCTATGAATATTACAGTTGTCAGAAATTGTTTGCTCATTCACCTGGCCAGCAGCTCTTTGCATACCGGCAACAGCCAGCACTGAACCACAGTTATTCCACTGAATGTTCATTACAGCCATTGAAGTGTCAATCAAAACAGGATCTATAGTAGAAAGATATGTTATTAAGCTTTTAATTATTACATAGAGTGTTTTACTGGAAAATAAACCATTCATGAAATTCATATGAAAATACATCCAGGACCCAGGTCACGTATTTTCAATATTCTCACTAGTGAGGATATTGATGATGTCATTTCCCACTTTCTCACTGTTGTTTCAATTTGCACAGACAGTCAGTTTGTTTATACATGTATAATAAAAAGAAAATGACAAGGTCCCTTGATGAAGATATGAATTTTAATCTCTCGGGTTAAAATCAATATTTAAATCACTCACAGCTGTGCTTG